AATGGTTTTTCTATACGTCAAAACTAGGTATGGAAACACAATGTGGGATTTGTTACGTGCCTGGTAAGCAGAAGATGCAACACCGAAGATGAAGTCTTTTTCGAAACTGCCACTGTTGAAAAGTTTAGTTTGGTTACAGGTGAATGGCTCGTTCTCTTCACAAGTAAACTCTTCAGCTTTACAAGTCACCACAGCTAATAGAATAGCTAAGGAGAACCCAAGAAGCTTCATGGTTAATATGTAGATGTATGTGTTGTATTGCATGGAAGCCTTGTGCCAGTCTAGGGTTTATATAGCCTTTGTTAGAGAAGAGTGGCGTGTGCATTACCTTGTCTTAGCGTCATGATATTTTCGGAGGTTAAGGTGACATGAATCCCGTGGGTTTTGCTTACTCTAGCTGAATGTTAATTAACCTATTTTTGTTATATTTGTTCTTTTATTTGTTTCCACTTTTCAGACTGCTTTACTCTTCAATCAATCATTTCGTTGAGGAAAATGTTGCATTCAGGGGCGGAGGGAGAGAAGATTCATAGGGGTCAATTGACCCCGGTGAAATTTTTAAAAATAGTTGAATTTTTATATAAAAAAAACTATTGACCCCAATCCAATAAAAATATTGACTCCTATAAAAAAAATTATGTTACAAACCCAATAATTACACTGTACTTATAGATAATATTAACCTAATAAAATTTATTTTAAGTAAATCTACTACATTTAAACCTATTAATATAAAGTAATACTAGGGGAGGTCCCCGCGCCCAGCGCGGGGTTGTATGTTGATTAAGACCAGAATTAATAATTAATATTTAGGGTTATCAAGTTAGGGATATTTATTGAATTAATTTTGTCAAGAGTCTAATTTTTATAACGACATTAATATAGATTTATGGTAAAACGCTATAACTTTTGATATATATTATTAGTAATCAACAATTAATAGTGTTTTTGAATCACAAACAATTATTAGTGTTTATATCTTGATATATATAATAGAATTAAATATAAAAAATCTATATATTTAAACCAACAATATATTAGCAACGTCCCGACCGCCACTGTCCATGGGTTCCCACGTCCAGTCTCGGTCTTTAGGCCCATCTTCTTTGTTTTGTCGTACTCTTGATTTTATGACATATTCATGCTTACTCGTTTCTTTCATATTAGCAACGCCCCGATCGCCACTGTCTGTGGGTTCCCACGTCCAGTTTCGTTCTTTGAGCACATCTTCTTGGTTTTGTAGTACTCTTGGTTTTATGACATATTCACGCTTCCTCGTTTCTTTCATATTTGTAACGCTCCGACCGCCACTGTCCGTGGGTTCCCCACGTCCAGTTTTGGACTTTAATTTGGGCCCATCTTCCTGGTTTTTGTTGTATTCTTGATTTTATGACATATGCATGCTTTTAGATTGTATGTCACTGGAGTTTTTCGTAGTTGGAAACAAATAATTGAAAAATATAATCTCTTACCATATCTCTTACCTATCAAGTAAGTCATCTTGCTCTTTGAAGTAGTTATGTACGTAAAATTTCAATGGTATAGAAACAGGCATCTCCTTTGTATATATCGTGTCATATTTATCGTCCCTATTGTAGTATCTTTGTCTCTACCTTCGCCATTGGTCGCTGCGTAACCCTTCAGTTGATCTCTTGTTTATAAAACCCATATAAAAAGTTGTAAGAGAAATATCATTTTCTTAACTGTATCGTATATGTATTTGTAGTATATTGATCTGAGATTGCAAAGATGTATGCCTATCAAGAAGCTCTTAGCAAAGTAAACACTGAAGATAGGTACTAAAAATGAGAGGGTTACAGAGAGCAAGTATCTATCCCTTAGAAACCACTGTGTGCAACTGAGAATAATTCATATATGTACATACATACACATGTATACAACGTATTGAAGCTTTTAAATTTAAATATCGAATGCTACAAAACTGGAAAATTGCTTGTGGAGAAAGCAATATGAACATGGCCACATATATAACAAATAACCGATTATGCTTGTCGTAGATCATTCTCTTTCAAACCAAAAGTTTTACCTAAACAACATATCAAGTGACTCACAAGAGATACATAAGAGCCATATCCTAAAAATATCCGGCAAAGCAAAAACGCTCCAGGTTCGAGAAGGAAGTCATTGGAAAATTTGAGTATATACCAAACTGGAGAGTAATTCGGCTACAAAGAGAGATGTGTTGGCTTTGAAGAAAAAGCTATGTGATGCTCTACCTTTTATTTATGAATTTTATGCTATGAATATATGTTTTTGTTAGGGTTCAACTTCAGTCTCCGGATTAGAGACTTATATTCATCCGACAAACAATTCAATGTCACAATCAACGCTACAAAATTGGTGGGTTCTCTCTATTAACAAACAAAAAAAAATTTTGGGGTATATATTTTTTTTTTGTTTTGTTAGATCCATACGACGAAGAACATGACGAAGAACACCAAAAATTCTCATCAATCCGGTACATTTGATCTTATTTTTATTAGTTTAACAATTACGGTTATGTCCGAATCTGAAATAACCATGGCTCCAGACTCTTTCACACCATGGCCACATATCACCGGAGTGGAGACGATTTCAAATTCGGAGCTTCTCTTCGCATATAAAATCATACATATGGTCTCTTTGTTTCGGGTTCCCTCTACAATAATTAGTACATATTTCAAAACTGAGCTACAAAAGAGCACATTGGATTTTGGTAAACATCAAGATTGCTTCCTACCTTCCAAGAAACATGATAGACTAATTCACATCCAAGACCAAATATTAGCCACATAAAGCTTGAATCAAATTAAACGATCTTAGGATGCTCTTCATAATCCGTAAGTTAAAGAGACTTGCATTAATATTGCAAATTAGACTCTAGAGGTCCACAATGGTTAATCAGAGTGTATCAAAGACGACGAATAAAGCATGAATTAGAATATCAGCAGAGGAAGCACACAAATATTCAATAAACGTAATCAATCACTGAGAATAGCATGGACCCAACTTTTGAAAGATTCATAAAAAAGGAAGATTTTTCCTATGCAACAATATTCAAACAATGAGAAGATCAATGATTGATGACTAACCATACAACCGAAGCAAAGCCATAAACAGAAACGAAAGTACTAAAGAGCCACAACAGCAGTGATACGACATTTGTTTCCTCGCACTGGAAACAATGACGTGCTTCCATAAATCCAATCTAGTTTTTATGGAAAACAAACCTGCATTCATAATAAACACTACTATTAATTATTATTTTTTATGCAAGAATTAAATGGCAGTATAAAAAATTCAATAGTTAGTGCCGAAAAAAAAGCAAGGATTAGTTATGATATCAAATCAAAATTAAATATCAAGCAAGGTATTTACATAAAATTAAGGCAGTGGAGGATCTAAGAATTTTTTATATGACAATATCTACAACTAAACAAAGAAAATTTATATATTTTTAAAACAGAATCATTATTTGTTTTTTGGTAAGATTAAAACCGAATCATTATCATATTAGTAAAATTATCATTTATTTATTATTATCCACGTTAATTTAAAAGTTTAAGAGAATATCTGCTTTTTTCTCATAAAAGGATGGAATAATAACATAACTCTTTTAGATTTATAACTATATTTGACATTATCATATTAAATCTATTAAGATAAATATATTTCTTTTTGAAAAATATAAATAAAATGATAATATAATTATTATAGATTTACAATTATATTATTATCCATGTCAAAATTTTAAAACATTTTACTTTTTTCTCACATAGGAAGATAGAACAATAACGTAACAGTTTAAGATTTACAACATAAAAATAAAATCAGAATTGGAACGCCAAATCATAATCAACACAATTAACACAACTCTAATGGGAAATTAGAGTTATCTTGTGATTAAAATACTAAACAAACAAAACTAACCGAAACAAAACAAAAGTCTTCCTTTCAAAATCATTAACGTGACGGATTGCTGACTGATTAAGTTGAAGTTTTAGGCATTTAAAGATCTAGGAAGATGATTAAGGTTAAACATTTTTATTTATTTTAAACAACGTTTGAATGTTGACAAAAAAAGAAGAAGAGAGTGTTGGGACCATCGGGAGAGACAACGTTGAGTAGCTGCGAAAGAAGCCAACGTTGTCTATTATGTTCTTCACAGTGTTTGATTTGACTTTTGATGACATTACACTCCTGTCCACTTGTTGTCTCGAAAGTTCATGCAATGGAAAATTATTAAACAAAACAATTTACTTTTATGTATAAATCCTAGGAAAGAACCGATCAAGCTAAGATCAATGGTTGTGGTTTTAGTACCGTATACTTCTCAAATATACCTATTGAATAACGGAAATCCGCAAGACGGGGAGGAGACGAAGTCAACCTAGCTGGCAAAGGAGCTAACCCAGCTCCTTTGGTCTTATTTATGGTCATATGTATTTAGCAAAATATAGTATACAAACCGAACCAATCAACAACAAAACCTGGTTTTAAATTGTTGTATATTTCTCAAAAGTCAAAACCCATAATAACCAATGGAACAGAAGAAGCTAATGCAGAGCATACTTACGCTTGGAGTAAAGAGTGATGCAAGCTTCCATTGGCACACCCGAAAACGCATCAGAGCAGGGAAAGAAACCTAAAAACCAATAAATTAAACAATAATTAAACCTTAGTGCATGGAAAACGAATCCTATACATACCAAAGTCCGAATCTCAGTGCCTTAGAATGACCTCGATACCAAAAACTTTAAGTTACTACTTCCATATATGTAATATTTTAGTTTGGGGAGAGAGATTGGCAACGAAGAGTAATTCCTGAATTTAACAGCCAAGTTTGTTATCCCTAATCTAAAGAGAGGAATACTTAAATTACGAGACAGAACAGTATATACGCTGTTCATTAATCCAAAACTTCAACCAAAATATGAGAACGGAGAAATGTAATTGAAAAAAACAGAGAGTTTCAGAGAGAGACTTACAAGAGAGAAGAGGAAGGAATCGTAAAGCGTCCATTGGAAGAAGAAAGCTGAGGATCAGCTCCAGGGAAGAAGAAGATAGGCGGAGCCAGAGGAGGAGCCGTTGTGGTCTATTGAGGTATCGAGCTTGCCACGCTGCTCAACAGTCTCTTGCTCGATCCCGCTTTTCATGTATAGCCTCTGTGCTGCTTCATTGGCTACCATCACATGCACGTACATATCCGTTATGCTTGAACCATATTCACAACTCTTTTTTTAACTCCAACTGGACACGTCTAAGGAGTTTGATTAAACATTCTTACCCCACTCTCTTGGACTTATCAATGAGTTTGTAACCAACTCCATTACGATGCAGCTCTTTTGCAACACAGACATTGCTTAAGTATGCTCTCGCAAAATCCACACCAATCCCCTATAACATAAAATACTCTTAGGCTTCTCAATTTGTCCAATATCAGATTCAAGTTCAGCATTGTTGGCGACACAAATACCTCTGGTTTTGTTCCAGCAATTTCATCAGGAAGCCAACGGCATTGGTTAAGATCAAGGCTCCCCACCACAACTCTGTCTTCAATGCCATCAGAGAACTGAGAAACAGATTTAGCAAAGCACAAATCCATATCACTGCCGTTTTTTGTACACCAGGAAGTAACAACGAAATGACAATTCGAAATGTAGAGCACGATACATTAATGCAACAAACTCTCTTTAACAGATAATAAAAGATGAACAATTGAATAGACAGACCTTGCATGAAGAGAATAAATCCTCAGAAGAGCAAACATTAAACATGAACGTATAAAACTAAAACTCACCACATGACATTGAGTGACACTGTAGACCATGTGTATCAGATTTTGGAATATGTCCCTGAGAAGATACGGTGAAGAGAATAAGAGGAAGAAGAATACCCAACGACTATAGTCTATTAGGTTAATTAATAAAAAAATAATAGATTAGGAGTTTCACAAAAACAGACAACTGATTAGGACTAAATTATAAAATTACCTACATGTTCATAATTGATATCATCAACCCACAACCATAGTGGAATAAAACATAAAAACATATACCACAAATATTAATTGGGAATTAGGTTTTAAAACGTTGTCATTCTATTTTAATTCAATCACTTTTAGAAGATGGAGATCGATGTTTCAAATTTTCTGTTAACAAGCGAAGACGTATCAAATATAAAGTTGGGAAACGTACGTGATACCTAAAAGAGTCGAAATATTGGTATCTCATTATTGGAATTTTGACTACATCACAACAATGATATCCACACAAAATTAAAACTCATCAAACAAGAAAAACAAAGAGTAGATTAAAAATACATGGAAGATCACATGCTCGTGGAGATAATTTGACAATAACATTGATTATCACACAAAAAAAAAGACTCATAAAAAAAAACGATCAAAGTTATATGAGAGATTACATGCTCGTGGAGATTAGCCATAACTTTTCAATATTTTGAAATTCCACAAAAGCATCGGTAAAACAAATAAAAACACATAAATTAATCACAATATCATATAGATAGGAACAAATATAAATCAAACCTTTTCCCCCATCGATTTGTAACAATGTTTTGGAACATAAATTTCTGAACCGCACCTTGATTAGTCTGACATACATTCGATATGTAACGTAAATCATATAAAAATATAACAAAATAAGAAAATCGAGACATTAAAGATAAAAGATTACCCGTTAATCAATTGAAACATCACTAAATCTTCTTTATGCATCATGGTTGCTTTCACTCATCCAAAACCTACAATCGTTAAAAAAAACCATTAGAATTTATAGTAACGAAAATAAGATGTATAACTAAAAAAAAATCAATGCAAAAAATCAAGGTTAGTGATGATCCGAAAGTGTAAACATGCAAGGTATTTATATCAAGGTAAGAGGCGGTGTAGGATTTTTTTAGGGTTTTTCTTTTTTTTTGACGATAATAACTACAAAAAGGAAGTTATATATTTTTAAATTATTTGTTATGGAACAATAACATAACTAATTAAGATTTATAACTATATTTGACATTATCATCTTAAATATCCGAAATTCAATTTAATTTTTCCAAAATTAATTAGATTTCATTAAGGGTAATTAAGTAATTACGTAAAATCAATGACTCAACAAGAGCCGAGAGTCCGACACGTCAGCAAAAACACTTCTCAAATATTATTATATATAGATAATATTTTAACATTTATTTTGACCTGATCTAAAAACGTTTTACATTCTTCTTCTTTCTTCTTTGTGTTTTTAATCAATCTTTGATTGTGTGATGGTGGAAATAAGAAAACATCTTTCACATTTTTTAGTATATCGACTTATGAAGCTATCTTTTATGTATCTTTTAGAAAGAAAAAAATATTTTGACCCCGATGAATAGATTTTCTGGTTCCGCCACTGGTTGCATTCTTTTACTCAATTGTGAATTGCGTATTACTATCGTTATCTCTCTAGTGAACATTTGTTTCTTATCCGGAACACGACTTGGAGCAAAAACTAAGTTACATCTTCAATTGATAGGTCTCAACTGTTCGCGCAAAACTCGAAAGTACTCCATGCATCAAGAATGTTAGTAGATTATGTTCAGAGCCTTTTATGTTAGAATCTAGAATATGATCGAAAGTTCAATTAATCTAGAATATGAACTCCCTTGTTAAGATAATTAATAATATATAATAAATAATAATAGATACATGAATCGATCGTAGGCCATTCATCACAAGGCTCGCCGCTCACACCTCACAGTCACAGCATATCTCTTATGGATTTTGGCCGATCGATACTTTATCACATGACAATATATAAAACCAACCAACCTTTTGCTTTTTATTTTTTTAATCGTTATTAAAAATTGGAGGTGCTTTATCATATGAGTCATCGTCCCTTTCTTTTTTTTGATAAACTCTATCGGCTGATCCGGTCAGTCTCGGTAGAAATGCATCGAGGTGCTATAGAGTGGACTTCTCTCGCGGTTCAACGGTTCAACGATTCAACGGACACCATGAACTCCGAGTGGACTCGGGTCGAACGGGCCATGAGATTCATGAGATCCATGAGATCCAGAATTAGGCCACCACACTGTCTGATCCGAGTTTGGAGTGCCTTCCGACTAATGCCAGGGGGTAGTCAGGCCGCCTGCATTTCTGGCTACCAGGTAAACCAATTCCCAAACAAATATATTTTTGTTTCCAGAAAAAATCGAACTCAGGTTTGGGAGTTTCATCATTTCTCAAAACTTCCTCTGCCACTAGACCACATATGCTTGGGCAAAAATTTGTGGTCTAGTGGCAGGATCTTGACTGTAAATTTGTTCCTTCTTTACCGGTAATTCTCTGGGTACCTACCGTGAAGCGTGATCTTGACTGTAATTCTTTGGAAATATCCCATGATACACTAACAGTCAATAGAGCTACAAAGGCGAGGTCGAACAGTCGTAGACTATTTTTAGTAACCATTAATTGTTTCTTTTTTGTGGAAAAAATATTAAAAAACAACAAGTCTTTAATTTCTACAAAAGTGATTATAATTCAGACATAGATACAAATATGCAACCTATTTGAACCAAACATTACACTGTATGTTGTTCCTCTCGTCCGTATTATATTGAATATGGCCAGCCACATGCCCGACTCAGAGGACAAGCCATTAAACCCATCGATTTGGGCCTCACAATTTGAGAATTTTTTAACCTAAAAATTTGTTAAGTTTTTTTTATATACAATAATAATTTTTGTAGGACCTTTTAAAAATATTGTGGGCTTTTATAGACAACTATAACATTTTTTTTAATGGTAAAAATCTAATTAAAAAAAAAATCTTTTTAATGGGTTTTAAGTTTTTCTTAGGACACCCAAATTTACCGGGCCGGCCATGAGCCCATGACTTTGATAAGCACTTGACGGTCACAATTAATTTATTGCATTCTATGAAATCTTGTTGGGTTAAAAGATGAAATTACCCTAAATGAAAAACAATGTGTTTTTTTTTTGGATAAGAACAATGTGTAATTTTTTTTTAATAAGAACATTGTGCTAATGTTGACGTACATAAATGTGATATTCAATTTAATATGTCTAGTGCATTATATATCATAGTACATAGATCACATACCTAACGCAAAATTTTGGCTCACACGATCCCAAAGTTTTTTTTCCGAAAGAATTACTACCTTGTTTTTTTTTGGCAATGGTAGTTTCGTAGCTAGCTAATCATTTTGTAAATAACTTACGTTCAAATTAAACACAACACATTTTCCTTAATAAGAAATTGATAGCAAGGTGAACAATTGTAACACCCCGGTTTCAAGATTATGACGGTGCATGCAGAGAATTTTAAGAGAATTGATTTGGCCACCTATGTCAGCAAAGTGCACTTATCTTTTTGGTCAAACGTCTTGAGAGAACTCTACAATTAAGCGTGCTTAAGTTGGATCAATTTCAGGATCGGTGACCTTCCGGGAAGTGATTGTCGTCGGAACTGTTTGAGTGAGAACAAAACACAAGAAAATATCATGTAGTGATTTTTAGGGTCGGTAACAAGTCTTTAAAGCCTCCCGAACATAACGGACCGACCGTCGGACAGGGGTGGAACCCATGGGCTCGAGAGAGGACGTGAGTGCTCACTGGTAGGAATGGTCAGGGTGTTACAACAATAAGTAGGTGTAAGGAAAAATATGAAGCTAAAGTGAAGTAAATAGATGAATTGTATTATAGTTTTCTTTGAAGGATTACAATGACGAGAACTAAAGCAAGACTAGCTAGGGAATTTCGGGTGTAAAAGAAGATGATCTTCCTTCTTGATTTCTTATGTTCCTATAACACTTATCCTTGTTAGTTGTTAATGTGTCTTCAATCTAACCTCAATGACTTAAGTGATAATAAGTCTAGTGATCTATATTAATCATGTTGTTATCTAACTTCCAAATTCAAACCCGCATGTTGCATTTTATAACTAACCGAAAAAAAGTAGTTTCCATTATAAACAAAGCCTTTACATTGGAGAGATTAATAATCTTTTAATTTCCATTATATTGTTGTGGCATTATGTGCAACAGCTGCGACCATAATAGCATAATGTATGTTATGATTCAAGTGTGCATTGTACAACTTGGTTGTTCCTTGTTCTGTAAGAAAAGACATATTACTGTAATATCGTCAATTTTGGTAGATTTAAGCTTTTTCTTCCATGCAGCTTCAGCTGCCTCCGCCACCAATTTAGCGGCCTCAGCTTGCTTTTTTCCCGAACTCCATATCAGCGATACAACTTCATCATTGCTAAGCATATCCCAAACCTGCGATGACGATTTTAAATACCAAGGTGGTTCATTAAACTGAAAAAAAACTTCAATATATATTTGAATCACATTTGCATCTACCCCATCTGTAGCGAGTACAAGGAACCGGTCGTTCGAAGTTATTCGGTGTTGAGAGATCTCTGGAACCGCAATAACGCCGTGTTCTTTGAGCCTAAAATTTCCAAAAGCTCTTGACATGGCTAGTCCTGGTATGTCTTGGTTGGGTAACCACACCCTTTGGTTGCACGGTTCTGCTTTCATTGCGAAAACACGACCTTTGCACATCCTTATCCTCTCTGCTTCACCTGCAACGCTAGAACTCGCTAAATAAATATCATGAACCCTCTAATGATAAAACCTTTATTTAGCCAAAAAGAGAGTAAAAAAGCATACTAGGGACATTAGGTGTTAGGTCTGATGTTAATTGCACTGCCCTGATCTCACCATCTTCAGTCGTTGTCCCCAACACTGCCCTTGAATCACCGAGGTTTGCTATAACGAGATCATCTCCCTAAGATAATCCAGTAAGCTCCAGCTATTAAAATATTTAGGCTTTGAATGGTGGCAGCAGAAAAAACAGAACAATTTGTTTGTGGTCAAGATCGAATTTTTTTAACCATTTATAAGTTTTGGTATATACCAAGAAAAAAAAATCGGCAATGGAAACAAATGATGAAGAAAGATACACTAGTCTAGACCGTCGGCCACAAAACTCAACGATCTAGTCCGCTGCCACCATTCAAACCCTTTAATGTTGCGGAAAAAGAGAGAAATAAATGTACCTGAGTTATGGCAACAACACCAGTGGAGCCACTAAAAGAGCAATCAAAGACTTGGAGATTAAGCTCTCTATCAATGAGTCTAAAGGCAGTAAAACAAGCATTTTCCCATTTGTTAGCTTCTTCTTCACAAACATTAGATTCTTGGTTTTGCTCTTCCTTTAGTGCTAACAGAACCGATGGCAGTCTATTTCTCACCATTTTGCTCACCATGTGCCCATTTTTACCGTGCCCATCAAACACTCCACATAGCTCTGAATCCCTTGTTCCATATCCCTACGGGATTGAAATTATAAGTTTTCTACTACTTAAATCAAATCACACTTAATTCTACTCAATAAAAATGGATGAAATTTTAAATGTTTTTAATCTTTTTGAAAAATGTCATGTGAAATTATATGGAACATTAATTTTAATGCAATCAAACATTTTTACATATAAATTTTTTATATATGAAATGAAATCTTTAATTTTTTTTATAAATATGAAAAGAATTTCAAATATATTTCACATGTAAACACAAAAGTAGAAATTAACATTTAAATCAGTTTGGCCGAATATGGTGTTGTTCGTTTGTTCATCTGGATGGTCTATAAGATGATGTACGTTTAAACAAAATTAAAGACATTATCTACATATATTAAAAACAAGATTTTACTGAGAGAACCAAAAAAAAAAACAAAACAAAACAAAAATTGTGAATTTTTTTGTCCTATCTAAATTAGGGAAACGAAAATTGGTTCACCATCTACCCCAAAATGTTGTTG